CCCGAAGGGACGGTCAGCCGCGGACGCCGGCCGGGCCCTCCCGGACTCCAACTGCGGGGCCCCGGAAAGTGCCGAGACCTGAGGAGCCCGGAGAAGAAGGCGACGAGTCGGTTACCTGGTCAGCACCGTGGAAGTGGAAGCGGCAGCTGTGGCCGGTGCCCTTCTCCCCAACAACGCTCGCTTCAGCGCCACTGACATTGAGACCGCCGCCATGTTGCTGCGGCCAAACAGCCGGCGGGTGCGACGGATCCCCACGAGGGACTGATTTCCTTCGTTCCCAGTCTAGCGCAAACGCACTGTAAGGGGCGGGGTCCTTTCTAAGCTTGGGTTTGCGAGTGTTGGGAAAGACGTGCAGAGTGCCTTGAGGGTCAATATTAGCCCAATAAAGAATAATTCTCGTTGGTTGCTAGGATTATTACAAAGATGAAAAGCACAAAAGAAAGTGGTTGAAAACTTGAACACCGGCCTCTCAGAGTTTTGCAAAGCACTGTCTCATCTGGGACCCCACTGGAAGAATCAGAAGGCTCTCTGAGTCTTTGAGAGAGCAAAGCAGTACTCTCCCAAAGGGTTGCTAGGTTCTGTTTCCACCCCCTCTGGACAGAGCTCTATGGATGTTTTGGAGCTGTAATGATCATATTATGGCCCTGCAAAGGTGGGGTTTTTTCTTTGTTTTTGTTACGTTTTTTTGACATCTGGACTAATTGCTACTGGGCTGTACCCCTATGCCCTAAATATTATATAAATATTGAGTGCATATAAAAGAAAATTGCTGCCAGTGGTGCTGCTCACCTGTTATTACAGAAGCTAAGGAGGTTGAGGCAGAAAAATCATGACTTCGAGCCGATTTGAGCAGCTTAGTGAGACTGGTCTCAAACAATAAATCAGTAAACGGAACTCGGACTGTATATCAGAATGCTGCTACGTTTCATTACTAATACTACCAAAAAAAATGAAAATATGGATGTGTGTTCCAAAACTGTGATTTGTATAACATAAAACCACATTACTTTGTGGGTTTCTTTTTTTTTTTTTTTTTTTTTAATAAAATTTTATTCTTACATGTACAACAGACTCCAAGAACACACTTCATTGTAGTTACAGGTGTCAAGAGATCCAGATATCTGAATAGGAATGGAATCCCAGCCACCATCATTGTACACATAAGAAACAATTTTATTTTTTGCCAGATTCCTTAATTTCACCCGTGGCCAGGGGGCCCTTGGTTTTTAGCCCCTCAAGTTTCTTCTGCTCCTCCTTTATCCTCTGTTTGAGTGCTCTGTCTTCCTTGGCCATCTCCTTGGCCTGCTTCGGGGCTTCTTCTTGTCCCCTTCGTGGCCGGACATGGCGCCGACACACCCACCTTCTCAGCCGAGCTTAGAAGCCAGCGACCTGGGTTCCGTTTTTAAAAGAAGTTGATTTGACAGTGTCTGCCTGGTAAGCACAAGGTTCTGGGCTTGACTCCAATTTGAAAGAGACTGTACCTACTTTAACACTCAAGCACATGAAAACACAACCTTCATTGAAAGAATAGGATTACTAAGAGGATGAGGAATTTATTCTGCAACACGCAAAGGAATGGAGAAAAGAGAGAAAGGAAAATTCATTTCCGGAGAAAGAAGAAGTACACAGCATGAAGGAAGGTGAAGGAACTGCGTCTCAGTGAGCTTACTCTCAAACATTTTATTTTTAAATAATGAATGGCTGAGAGGAAGTTGCAAGGCTATTACAGAGAGGTCTTGTGTACTTGTCATCCGTTCTTTTGATTTCTTGCGATAACACTGGTGTAGATACAAAGCCATAAACTGACATGATACAAAATGTTTGTTTAATGAAATATCTATCACATACATCAGTTTGTCCAAGCACCATGAAAATACAAAACTACTCCACAGCAAAGAATTCCCTGGTGATGGTGTTTCATAATAATGCCTACTCTCTTACCACACCTCTTGCATGCACCTGCTGCTATTTCCATTTTTATAATTTTGGCATTTTGAGAATGTTATCGTAATACACTTGATCAGTTTCTGATCTTTTGAGGTGGTCTGCTTTTACTCAGCATAATGCCAGGTATTAGTATGTATCAGTAGTTCATTCCTCTTTTATTGCTGAGTAGTATTCCATGTAAAAATAAACCTCAATTTGTTCAATCGTTGATCCACAGCAAAATAATTGCAAATAACTGCTATCAGTATCAGAAGTTGTATAAAGGTTTTTATGCAAATGTAAGTTTTTGTTTCTCCGAAGTGGATGCCCTAAAGTACAGTTGCTAGACCATGTACTGTATGTATGCTTAATTTTTTTTTAAAGAAACTGCTGTACTGGCCTGGAGGTGTGTGTCAGAGTCAGAGCCTAGTATTTAAAAGGTCTGGGCTCAATCCAAATAAAAACAGACAAAATAAAGCAAACATAAACCCAAAGCTTGCGTTTTATATTCTCACAGGCTATGTATGAAAGATCCAGTTTTTCATATAGTCACCAACATTGTTACTATTTTTATTTTTGCTGAGCTAAAACAAGTGTGTGGTGATATCTCATCATAGTCTTAATTTGTATTCCCTTAATAGCTAATGTTGTTAAATAGATTTTCATATTCCTGTTTTCCATTTGCATAATCTATTCTGATAAACATCTGTTTTCCACTCTTTTTTTTTTTTTTTTTTTTTAAGCAGTACCGGGAATCAAACTCAGGACCTTGCACTTGCCAGGCAAACACTTCTTCCCCTGAGCTAACTCCCCAGCCCTCTACTCATTTGCTAATTGTACTTTTTCATTTTACATTTTGAGTTCTTTGTTTTCTAAATATGAGTGTTTTAGCAGACATGTGACTCACAAATACCTTCTCCCATTTGTAGCTTGTCTTTTTGTCCACTTAACAAGATCTTTCACAGAACAAATGGTTTTAGTTTTGAAGAAATCTGGTTTTTCCATTTTTTAAATTTATAGCTTGCGCTTTTCATGTTTTGTCTAAGAACTGTTTACCAACCCTACTCTCTAAGATTTTTCTCTTGTTTCATTCTAAAGATTTTTCTTTAAGTCTTACCTTTTCCATTTAAGTCTTCTAATCATTTTTAGTTAATTTTTGTGAGCTAATTTTTTAGTTAATAAGGTGCGGGGGTTGGGACAAAAGGCAGGTTTTGTTTCCTGGCTGTCCTATTGGTTCAGAAAACCAGTTGTTTGGTGAAAAGACTGTCCTTCTTCGACGGAATTGCTTTTCTATCTTTGTTTAAAAGGCTCTTAGCTGTAATCGTATTTGGCTATTTGCTGGGTTTTCTATTTCAGAGGGAATTCCAAGCTCAAAAGTGGTTTTGATGTTTGAGTTAAATTTTAATGAAGATTTTCCATATCAAAGAGTAACTTATAACATGTCTCAATTTTCAGCAGGGCATCATAGCCTGTTACTAGCATCACGGATCCAAACTCAGACACTCCTACTGCGATTCTCTTTGCCTCCTGCTAAAAGATTTGAATCCCCAAGGGACCCTCCTCCTGGCCCCTTGCCTTCCACATAGCCTCGGATCCACGGCTCTGCCGCGACATGCTCCAGTGGGGCTGCTGGTTCTCTGCCTGCTGCCGGAGTCCCTCAGCCACCCAGACCCGACCTTCTTCCTGACCTGACACACAGAATCTAGGCCCAAGGATGAAACAGAGATAATTCATATGTGTATTGTATGTACATATTTTTGTAATTTCACCTAATTCACAACATGTCTAGGTCTTATTATTTTATCATTTGAGTAAGAGTGTTAAATTGTAAATTAACACTGGGGCCGATGCCTGTGTCCTGGGGAGCTGGAAGGGAAAAGGAAGGATCACGCCTAGGCGCTTTAACAAAACCCTGACTCAAAATAAAAACTAGAAAGGGCACGGGATGTAGATCAGTGGTAGAGTTTGCCCAGGCTCAATCTTTAGCACTGGGGGAAGAAGAGAAGGGTACGGGGAGGGATTGAATTTACTTTTTCTTTAGATTTGATATACAATGACCAGAATCTTCCTCCTGAGCTAGCGATTATTGCTAACAACACAGCAACCAAAAACATTAATTTTATCCTATGCAGTACTACCCAACTGTGTCTTTTTTTCATTTTCATTTTATTTTATTTGTTTCCAGTACTAGGGATTGAGCCCAGGGTCTCAAGCATGCATTCTGCCACGGAGCCACACTTAGCCCCTTTATTTTTTTGGTAAGACATAGGTCTTTCTATATTTCCCAGACTCATCTCCAACTTGTGAACCCTCCCGCCACAACCACCTGAATACTGTCATACAACATTTCACTCACTTCATGTCCCTAACCTCATTTCCCAGATGATTTTCTAGAGAATGGTAACTTTATGAGAGTTTCACAGATGTTTCTGAAAAATAATTTTATATTAATTTATCCCTGACTTGAGTATTCATAATATCCTTGGAATAGTTCTTAGTTCCACATTTTTTTTTATGCTCTACCTCAATCATTGAAATATATTCAGAAGTTGGCTATTTTCCCTACCTTCACTATTACTCTGATCCAAATAACCTTCCCTTCCTGAAGATTCTGGCAATGGCCTCTCTACTGTTTCCACGTAACAATTGGAACTGTTTTGTTTGAGACAAGGTCTCTCTACATAGCCCAGGCTGGCCTTGAACTCGTGGTAATCCCGAGGGTCTTCCTAACCACCCTGCCTTCATGTCAGTCAC